GAGACAGAGACAGAGACAGAGACAGAGACAGAGACAGAGACAGAGACAGAGACAGAGACAGAGACAGAGACAGAGATAGAGATAGAGATAGAGATAGGACTGCCGACTGCCAGCAGTTGGCCAGTTCAAGTGTCACTGGCTCAAGGTTGATTCAGCCTTCCATCTTTCCAAGGTGAGTAAAATGAGGACCCAGCTTGTTGGAGGCAATATGTTGACTCTGTAAATCACTTAGAGGGGGCTGTAAAGCACTGTAAAGCAGTATATAAATTTAAGTGCTATTGCTATATAGCATGTGTATGGATATGGGTAGAGATCTATTTTCTTTTGAGAGCGGGCAACAAAATTTCATTTTTAATGTGAGCCAGTGTGCCCACGACAAAAAAAAAATGACAGTAAAGGTTATCTTATCATTTCAGATCGTGGATCTCTAGTCCTTAAAGCAAAGAAATCTTCCCCAAATTGGGACAGAAAGCTATTGCTTCAACTGAGATCCTCATGTCCCCAGCAACCAAGAAGAGATTAGCATAACTTGGTGGTCTGCAACTGGCGATGTCCATCAGCTCTTGGGACAGAAGAATGGAAAAGTCCACAAAGGAAGAAGGTGCCAATTTCATGATGTTTCTCTGTTTCTTGTTCCATGGGCTCTATTCTTCCTCCTCCAGAGGGCCAGGAAGAAGATGGTATCTGGGCCACCCCCCCCCCCACACACACAGTTATGATGTCCTCATATAAGCCTTTTCAAAAGATTTCTAGCAAACAAGGGCTCAACTCTTCTTCCTCATAGCTTGATTGAGAAAAACCACCCCCTTACCCGTTCTTTATTCCTTTCTTCCGTAAACCTGCATCCAAATACAGGGAAAGTGGGGGGGAAGATAAGCTTTTTCAATTAAGGTTGAGCCACCTGCTCAAACAAAGCCGGCCTGGTTGCTTTCTCTGCATGAAGAGGGAACAGGGGAGCCTGAAGAATTTGCAAGAAGTGGGGAGATAAACTTTTAACCTCGCTCATTGTCACCAATCAAGCCACTTCAGCTTCGAAGGGAGGAAGGTTTACAAGAGTTTGTTCGCCAACCGGAGTAATCAGAAATGGAAGAGGGAAATCAAAACTCCCCCAGCGCACCTGGAAGAGCCGGGAGGAACCCCTTCCATGGCTGAAAATCATCACCCCATAAAGCTCTATCGATCCAAAGGACTTACCTGGATGCAGGAGGAGTGGGATCAGGAGGCAAAGAGCAAGAGAGTACATGGTGTTATTTGAGAGCTCAGCTGGTTTCTGGAAGCCAAGTCAGAAGTTCTCTCTTGTTCTTCTCTAGCGAACAAGATCCCTAGCCAACAGCAAGAGAGGATTACTCAAGGAGCAAAGGGGTGGGTTGGGCAACTCTATTCTTTTAGGATGCCCCAGGCAAACCTGTCTGCGGGCATTCAAGGTGTCCTCCTCTCTTCCACGGATGCTTTGAAGCTTTCTTTCTTGGCTTCAAGGTGCCCTCCCCTCATCCACGGATGCCTTGAAACTTTCTTTATTCATTAGAAGCATGTTAAAAAGCGTTTTTATTTGTGTTAGAAGCGTCTTCAAATTATAGACATGCTAACTGGATACCCATGCTTCGTGATGAAACGATGTGATCAGGCAATGCAGGAGAAATTTGGTTCACTCTGGTTCAATCCGTTGGCTCAGTGGTGGTCGGTGATTGAAACATATAAGGGAATATCGCTCCCACCGCCTTGAGTCCAGAAGCAGTTCCATAGGTGGAAAGCATAGACATTTTGGTGAGATACTAACTTTTAGTACTATAAAGAACCCCAGACCGCTCCTGAGTCTGCCAGTTTGGACTGAGGTGACAGAATGTGAGGCAACTGGCAGTTGGAACAGAGTTCTTTTCAGGTGGGGAGGGGGAGTATAATGTCTAACTCCGTAGCATCAGAGCATGTTAATTACTGTATAAGAAATACTAATGATCTGATGGTCATTTCAAAAAATCCTTTCTTAGCGAGCACCTAGAAGCCAAGAGGAACATATGTGCCAAATTTCAAGTTTGCAGGCTTTATGGTTCTGGAGATTTCATGACGAGTGTGTGGTATTTGGCTTTTATATATATAGAAGACAACCTTCAATACTGAGCAAATAAAATAGACGATAAAAGGGTAGNTACAACTGAAAAGGCAGTTTCTCCTGGGTAGTTGTCTCTTACTCCATCCTTCATGTATGTGGCATTAAATATTTGAACTTTGTTTCTTCCCCCCACTCTCTCTCCAAACAGGGTGAACGTGGTGAGACTGGTGCTGTTGGAAGTCATGGTGCTCCTGGCTCACCTGGTGCTCCAGGTCCTGTTGGTCCAACTGGCAAACAAGGAGACAGAGGGGAAACAGTTAAGTGTTTAGTAACAAGGAAGATGCTAGAATGAAACCAACTCTTCAAAGCCATTCTGAGAACTCCAGTCTTCGGTTTTCTCATTGACAGAAGACTAGGTCAACATCTCATTGTTTTGTTTTGTTTTTTTCCAGGGTCCTCAAGGTCCCATTGGCCCTATTGGCCTCGCAGGAACAAGGGGCTTACCTGTGAGTACTTCTTCCCTTTGACCAGCTCCATCTTCTCCTGACTTCCTGGGAACATTGTAGAATTCCCCCAGAGCCAAAGGCAATCAAGTCAAATTGCAGCTAGATCGTTGCTACATCTAGCCAGGACAATTCGTTTTCCATTTATGCGATTAGCACAATGGCTCAATGCCGTGGGGAGCACTTCATATTTTGCAAAGTCAATTGGTAAAGTAGGTCTGGCTCTTAAAAATGTGAACTCTGCCATCTGAACAAAACAAAAAAAATGTTACAGGAACAGAGGCCAAGTGCAGCACAGACATATACACGTATATGTTTATGTGATATTTGAATAGATGCCTCTTGGGTATAATAACCGCATGTCCCTTTTACAGGAGCACTTTGCACATTTGTCTGAGACGGGGTAGTCTTTCCTTGCCTCTGCTTTCTTAATGGAATGACAGTCATCCTAACAATCATTTAAAGATGTCTCAGAGCCCTGAAGTGGATCCCTTCTTCTCCCAGATGAAATTGAGAAGCAACAGGGGATCTCCCAAAAAAACAGAGCTGTATCTCAAATGTTCATTTCCTTGAAATGATATGTGTTACAAATGAATACGTTGTTTCTAAAATTGAAATAACTTTTTACCAGATAGCCATAAAACACGTTAAAGATCTACTAATTATTTCATCCAGAAGAGGGAGTCAATGGACTTCTTTCTCATTTATCACTTGAGGTCACCATCAGTGAATGACAGACAGAATTCTCCTAGAATGGACTAAAAAAAGTTGAGAGCATGACATATTTAGGGTAATCATAGAATTTCTGCCAGGGCCTATATGCAGGGGTGGGCTTCAAAAATTTTAGCAAGGGGTTCTCTGCCTGGTTGCTGGGTGGGCATGGCCATGGCCTAGTCAGCCTCCTGCACCAGGGCCATGGGGCATTTTTGCCCTCCCTGGGCTCTGGAGGCTTTCCTCGAGCCTCCAGGAGGGCAAAAACGCCCCCCCCC